TTGAAGTTTGTGTTCTTGTTTTTGAAGTAGACACACCACTAACTGTATGTACTTTTTTTAAATCAGAGAAAATACTGACACATCAGTACGGTAGTTTGAGGCTTCAATTCTTTACAAGAGAAACATCCCAGCCATGAATGTTTGCAGCACAGTCTGCTGCTCTTATTTAGTTCACCCTATGATGGAAAATCTGCTAGAGGTGTGTGTACATAGTATGTGGTCATTTATCTTGCCTGGTATAGAGAGTGAGGCAACCAAGGGGATGAAAGAGAGTTTGCAGAGTAGGTAAGAGTCCAGAAATCAGGATCCAAAGGCTTAGAATGTACAGGGGGTTCTTTTTATGTGCCAACCAGCATTATTAGTAGATATTTAATAATAATGATATTTATTGAATCCTTACCTTTTATCAGAAATTATTCTATGCCCCTCACACTGTGACTCTAACCTCACACTGAAACTTCTTTTCTCCAGTAATCACTAACTAAAGCATTTTATATTTTGACCATCCATAGTCTCCTGTCTTCCACCTTGCATTCAACTACTCACCACATTATGGCCAGTCTTCAACTTAATCAGGATTTCTTATCCACTGACACCTCTCATATGCCCTATTCATAACTTCCTCCCATCTTCACCATTTTTAGGTATTTGTTACAGCAGTATCCCTTTTCTCAGTGCCAATTTCTTAGTCCATTTGGGATACTGTAACAGAATAGACTAGGTGGCTGAAACATCAGGCATTTCTTTATTACAATTCTCAAGGCTAGGAAATCCAAGATCAAGATTCTGTCATATTAGAGGTCTTGTGAGGGCCTACTTCCTGTTTCAGAAATGGCTGTGTTCTTATTACTAACACCATCACACTGGGGGGTTAGGATTTCAACAACTGAATTTGAGGAGGATATTGGAGTGGGTTGCCATTTCCTTCTCCAGAAAACATTCATTTTACAGCAAAATATATTCCTCTAAAAGTTCTTAGTTAAAATATATTTATTAAATACTGTAGAAATAATAACATGGGACAAATAATTATTTAAAGAACTAATAATCTTCTTGCTGTTGTTGTTCAGTCACTAAGTCATGTCCGACTTATTTGCAACCCCATGGACTGCAGCATGCCAGGCTTCCCTGTCCTTTATTATCCCCCAGAGTTTGCTCAAACTCATGTCCATTGAGTTGGTGATGCCAACTCAACCATCTCATCCTCTGTTGCCCCCTTCTTCTCCTAACTTCAGTCTTCCCAGCATCAGGATCTTTTCCAATGAGTCAACTCTTTGCATCAGGTAGCCAAAGTTTTGGAGCCTTAGCTTCAGCATCAGTCCTTCTGATGAATATTCAGGACTGATTTCCTTTAGGACTGACTGGTTTGATCTCCTTGCTGTCCAAAGGACTCTCAAGAGTCTTCACCAGCACCACAGTTTGAAAGCAACAATTCTTCAGTGTTCAGCCTTCTTTATGGTCCAACTCTCACATCTGTATGGTCAAAGCTATGCTTTCGACTATATGGACCTTTGTAGGCAAACTGATGTCTCTGCTTTTTATTAAGTTGTCTACTTTTGTCATAACTTTTCTTCTAAGGAGCAAGCATTTTTTAAATTTCATGACTGCGGTCACCATATGCAGTGGTTTTGGAGCCCAAGAAAGTAAAATTTTTAACTGTTTCCACTTTACCCCATCTATTTGCCATGAAGTGATGGACCGGATGCCATGATCTTAGGATTTTGAATGTTGAGTTATAAGCCAGCTTTTTTACCCTCTTCTTTCATCCTCATCAAAAGGCTCTTTGGTTCCTTTTCTCTTTTCATCTTTAGAGTGGCATCATCTGCATATCTGAGGTTGTTGACGTTTCTCCTGGCAGTCTTGATTCCAGCTTGTGATTTATCCAGCCTGGGATTTCACATGATGTTCGAAGTTAAATAAGCAGGTTCGCAATGTACAGCCTTGATGTACTCATTTCCCACTCTTCATCCTAATAAATCTACTTGCTGAGCCTTAGTCTAATTATATCCTGGTGGCTAAGCTGCTAGGGCTTCCCAGGTAGTGTTAGTGCTAAAGAACCCACCTGCCAATGAGGGAGACATGAAACGTGGGTTTGATCCCTGGGTTGGGAAGATCCCCTGGAGGGTTCCCTGGAGGAGGGCACAGCAACCTACTCCAGTATTCTTGTCTGGAGAATCCCATGGGCAGAGGAGCCTGGAAGGCTACAGTCCATGGTGCTGCGAAGAGTTGGACATGACTGAAGAGATTTAGCAGGCAAGCACACATGCACAGCTGAGCTGTTACTTGGTATTTACTTTCCAGTGATTATTAACTAGTTATCACTGCTTAAAATTTAATATATATGTATTGGTAAAAATATGTTTCATGTTATGGTTCAGAATTAAGGAAGAAACAGTCATTTCTTTATTAATTGAAAGAAAATGAACCCTCTCCAATATATAAACTTGAACATGTCACTGATCCAAAATTTTGAAAACCTTACTTCCCATTATACTTGTTAACACACATTGTTACTTCATATTACTTATCTACTTCCCAACTCACTTTTCCCTCATAATAAAAGCAAGCAAGCAAACAAACTGTATAACTTCATAATTATGAATGGTTTGTTAAGACATCTCTGCTCAAAATCCTCGTCCCCCTCTCATAGCTCTATTGCAGACTTCCTTTCTGTAGTTTAAGAAACACTAATGCATTAGGTATGGCACTAATTTTGCTTTTGCTTGGTGGATAAGGGAATATAAACATTTAAAATAGTTCATGTAATATCTTGATGGCATTGATTTACAAATCAAGCAAAAATGTAAACAGGAAAAAAACTCGATTATAGTGTTCTGAGGTCCCTTTTAGCCACAACCCTATTATATGGAAGCAATCATTTGAGTGATTTATTAACATTTTATAACCTTTTATTAATTGCTTCATATTCTTCAGATACCATGAACTAGGAAGAATAAAAGAAAAAAAAAATACAGTCTGCCAACTCCAATCTACTTATACTGTGCAACAGAACTTTCTGTGATGATAGAAATGTTCTCTATCTGGACTGTCTCCCATAGTAGCCACTAGCCACATGTGGCTATTGAATGCTTGACGTGTAGCTAGAATGCTGGTAGAAGTGAACTATTAATTCTTCTTAAAAACAGCTTTATTGATACATAATATACATACACTATAATTCACCACTGAAACTGTACAATTTAGTGGTTTTTAGTACATTCATAGAGTTGTAGAGCCTTTACCATAATCAATTTTAGAATATTTTCATTGCCCCAATAAGAAAGCTAGTACTTGTATAGTCACTTTCCATATTTCCCAAACTTCTTCAGCCCCAGACAGCCACTAATCTTTCTAGTCTCCATGGATTTGCTGATTTTGGTCATTTCCTATAAGTGGAATCACAATTTGTATTCTTTTGTGACTGGCTGATTTAATTTTAGTTTATTTAAATTTAATACTTACATGTGGCTAGTGGCCACTGTAAGAAACAAGTAATACAAATACTTAAGTAATAATGATGCTTAAGTAACGCTGAGGTTTAGAAGGTAATCTTGTAAAGGGGGCATGTGAAAAACATCAGAGAGATTAGAGATGAATGCAGACAGAGCCTAGAGACGAGAGTTTCCTGAAGGAGGAGATGGTACCAACTAATACAGAGGTATAAGAAAGAATTGTTTCAATACATGTAAATCCATGGCTAATTCATTTCAATGTATGACAAAAACCACTGCAATGTTGTAAAGTAATTAGCCTCCAACTAATAAAAATAAATGGAAAAAAAAAAAAAGAAAGAATTGTTTCAGTGATAGGATAGGAATCCTGATGACAAAGGCCATTGCAATGTGGTGGTTGGTGAAGAAGTAGCATTTTTATATTATTTAGAGATGGAGGAAGGGAACGATTTCAAGAAAGCTTGACAGGTATGTCAGGACTGGTACAAATTTTATTTTGTTTCTAATATTTTAAGTATTAGCATGAGCTTCTATGTAGGCATAAGAAAAAGATCCAGTGGAAATGAAGACCTAAAAGATGATTGAGCAGGGTTCTGAAGGATGTGAGTGAGTACAGGTAGTACTCACTAGGTCATTAGCCTAGGAATAAGCCCTGACAGGAAAGACAGATGTTATCTTTCTCAGAGGTGGGTGTAAGTGAGGAAAAAGTAGGTGAAGGTGCAGAACAATTTTTACATAGAGAGAGAGGAAACTAAAGAAACTCATTTACTCAAAGAAAATGGGAATAAGGCCTTCTAAGGGTAAAGTTTGGTTCCCCTGACCATCACTGTGATCCAGTGTGTAGAACTGAGTTCTGGTAAGTACTTCAGAGGGGCTTGGACTATGAGAAGTATCAATTATTTACATATATCTGGCTTCCCAAATGAACATGTCTCTTAAAAGGAAGAGACTTTTTCAGGTACATAAAGCCACATGGGGTCTAGTGATCTAGATGTGTCATTTTTCACTTACTAGAAAGTGAAAATTACCCAGAAGTTTGTATCTGAGATTTTTGAAGACAAACTACAGCTCCATTACTCATCTTCCTTGCACTCCACTCTCCTTTCTTTTCTTCTCCTTTCCCTCATTTCCTTCCTTTTTCCCTTCTATTCTTCTTAGACTTTGTAGAAAACAGGGTGCTATGTCATTCTCTTTGCCCTACACGAAAAATTGGAAATAAAACACAAAGCTGGGAATATCTAACATTAATCCAAACTATAATGAATATAGAATTTAATATTATTAATTATAATAAACCTCCAGTATTTTCTTTACTATTCTAAGTTACTCATTATTCCTCCCTTCTCCAATGTTATAACACTTGGTTGATGAGACGGGAAGTGCTTTGAGAACCTCAAATAACAGCTATACAAATATAATAGAAAAATATACTAATTAGTTGATATTGATTTAATTAATATTACTACTTTAGAACAAGGTTTATATATAAATTTGCATAATTAAAGCTATATAAAATTATATATTTATGTATGTATTTATTTATTTTAGGCTTTTAAAACCAAGGATGGATATCTTGTAGTTGGAGCAGGAAATAACCAACAGTTTGCAGCTGTGTGCAAGGTAATCTGTAATATTTGGACTATTTGGAATGGGTAGATAATATATACAACAATTCATTTTGCACAAAGCCAGGAAAATTCAATTTTGCCTGGAGGAGTGTTGCTAAATCTATGCTACACTCATGACTCCCTGTGTTAGCACCTTAAAGCGTGCCCTTTTTATGCTTACAATGTTATGGACAGAGTCCAACTTAACACTTTTTTTTTTTTTTTGTAAAATTGAAGTATATGACTTTTTAAGTGACGAATCATAGTAGTTTAAATTATGTTAAAACCTAACCTGTCTACCAGTCCAAACAAAAAGGGAAAAAAAGTCTTGAAAAGGGTTTTTTAACACCAGGATTTTTTTTTTCTGAGAAGAAGAAAGGAACAGAAGAACTAGGAAACAACCGGAAAACAATTAACAAAATGGCAATAAGTACATACCTATCAATAATTACTTTAAATGTAAATGGACTAAGTTTACCATCAAAAGACATGGACTAAATAAGTTGACTAAAAACACAAGGCCTGCAAGAGTCTCACTTCAGGTATAAGGACACACACAGACTGAAAGTGAAGAGATGTAAAAAAAAAATTTAATGTAAATAGAAGCCAGAACAAAGCTGTGGTAGCAATACTTACATCTAACAAAAGAGACTTTAAAACAAAAACTGTGATAAGAGACAAAGAAGGGCATTGCGTACTGATAAAAGGATCAATCCAACAAGAGAATGTAATATTTGTATACTTATGCACCCAACATGAAAAAGTGAAAGTGAAAGTCTCTCAGTTGTGTCCAACTCTTTGCAACCCCATGGACTATACAGTCCATGGAATTCTCCAGGCCAACATGGGAACACCTAAATATATAAAGCAAATATTTACAGACTTACAGGGAGAACCAGACAGCAATACAGTAGTAGTAGGGGACTTTACTACTCTGCTTACCTCAATGGACAGATCATCCAGACAGATAATCAATAAGGAAACACTGGTCTTAAATTAGACCAGATGACTAAACAGATTTATAGAGAACAGTCTATCCAAAAGCAATAGAATACACATTTTTTCTCAATTGCCCATGGAACATACTCCAGAACAAATCATGTGTTAGGTTACAAAACAAGTCTTAATACATTTAAAAATATTGAAATCATATTAGGTATCTCTTCTGACCACAATATTATGAAACTAGAAACCAATTACAAGAAGACACCTGGAAAATCACAGATATGTGGAGGTTAAACAACATGCTACTATAAAAATGACTGGTATCAATGAAGAAATAAAAAAAGAAAAACAAATACCTTGAGGGCTTCCTTGGTGGCTCAGTGGTAAAGAATCTGCAATGCAGGAGACACAGTTCAATCCCTGATCCAGGAAGATCCCACATGCTGTGGAGCAACTAAGCCTGTGTGTCGTTAACTATTGAGCCTGTGCTTTAGAGCCCAGGAGCCACAACTACTGAGCTCACGTGCAGCAGCTACTGAAGCCTGCATGCCCCAGAGCCATGCTCTGCAGCAAGAGAAGCCCCTGCAATGAGAAGCCTGCACTCTGCAACTGGAGAGTAGCCCCCACTCACCACAACTAGATAAAAGCTCATGCAGCAACAAAGACCCAGCACAGCCAAAAATAAATACATGCTAAGACACTTCAGTTGTGTCCCAACTCTTTGTGATCCTATGGACTGTAGCCTGACAGGCTCCTCTGTTCATGGGATTCTCCAAGAATACTGGAGTGGGTTGCCATTTCCTCCTGCAGGGGATCTTCCTGACCCAGGGATTGAATGCATGTCTCTTGCATCTCCTGCATTGGCAGGCAGGTTCTTTACCACTAATGCCACCTAGGAAGCCCAAAATAAATACCCCAAATTATAAAAAATACCTTGAGACAAATGAAAATGGAAATACAACATACCAAAACTTCTAGAGTGCAACAAAAGCAATTCTAAGAGGAAGTTCATAGTGATAAATGACTTCCTCAAGAAAAAAGAAAATACTTGAAGAACCAACCTATATTTACAACTCAAGGAATTAGAAAAAGAATAAGCAAAGCTCAAAATTTGTAAAAGGAAGGGAAGAACAAAAGCAGAGTAGAAATAGAGTAAGAAGACAATAGAAAAGATCAGTGAAACCAAGCAAAGGCAACAAAAGCAAAAATAAACAAGTGGAAGTCTATCAACATAAAGAGAGTCTGAACAGCAAGGGAAATCATTAATGAAATGAAAATGCAACCTACTGAATGGGAGAAAATATTTGTAAATCATATATCTGATAAGAGGCTAATATCCAAAATAGGTAAGAATATATAACTCAATAGGAAAAAATATCACACAATCCAATTAAAAAATGGGCAGAAGTTCTCAATAGACCATTTTCCAAAGAAGACATAGAGATGGCTAATAGGTACATGTAAAGATGCTCAGTGGGAGAGAGACAATAAATAAAACTCCAAAATGATCCATGGTTACATGTCATGCAGAGAATTAAAATAGACTACTGTGTTAAAATAGTGACTGGATTGTCAGGGGAAAGTCTCTTTTGAAGAAATAACCTTAAGGTGAGATCTGAGTGATACTCATAATGCAATAGTGATAAGATTTTTCAATATAAATATTAACATAAAATGTTTGCAATACTAATATAAACATAGTACTCAAAATTCACAAAAAAGCCTGGAAGTATTCCGTAGTGCTAATACAGATTATATGGCTTAGTGGTAAAGGATCCACCTGCCAGTGCAGGAGACAGGGTTTGATCCCTGGGTTGGAAAGATCCTCTGGAGTAGGAAATGGCAACGACTCTAGTATTCTTGCCTGGAAAATTCCATGGACAGAGCAGCCTGATGGGCTACAGTCCATGGGGCCGCAATGAGTTGAACACAACTGAGCATGCTTGCATGTATGCCAGGATAAAAGTGGGTTTTTCTTTTTTCTTCCTACTTCTATGAAGTGGTAAAATACAAAAATATGTTTAGCTGTTGTCCCCAGTTCCTTACACAGAATTCCTAAAAAATTCCCGAGTTTTCAAAGTGTCCCTTGTTTTTCATAGTAAGCCCCTTTCAAATCACATCTGAGGTAACCTCACATTCTGCTGAGGTAACTTAGGATGGGGCCCCTAGATAGCCTCAGGATGGGTTGGTCACCAGATAGACCAACTGATCCGAGGGTTGGAACCTTCAGCCCCAACTACCAACCTCCAGTAAGAGGGGAGAGGACTGGAGACTGAGCTCTGTGTAACCCTTGAACTGTAAGATTCAGAGAGCTTCTGGTGAAGACATCAAGGTGGTGGGAGGGTGGTGGAGCATGGAAGCTCTGCACTCTCCTACCTCTGTGCATCTCTTCCATTTGGCCTTTGTAATAAACCAGTAGTGGTAAGTTAAAAAAAAAAGATTCTCAGTGTCAACTCATCAGGGAAATGCCAATTAAAACCATGGGATCTTACCTCACACTTGTCCAGAATGGCTATTATTAAAAAAAAACAAAAAAACAAGAAAAAACAAATGTTGGTGAGGATGTGGAGAAAAGGGAATCCTTGTGCACTGTGGATGGGATTGTAAATTGGTGTCGCCCCTATGGAAAATATTTAAAAATAGAATTACCACATCATCCAGCAATTTCACTTATAGGTGTGTATCTGAAGAAAATGACAACACTAACTTGAAAAGATACATGCACTCCTGTGTTCATTGCAGCATTATTTATGATAGCTAGGATATGGAAGGAAAAAGAACTTTTTAATACCAGGATTTTTTTCTCTCTTTTTCTGTTTTAATCCCCCAAAGATCTAATTAGCCCCGAATATAATTGATCTACTATCAATGTATTTACCACTAGAAAATTTTTTCCAAACAAAGTAGCCTTTGTTTAGTAAGTACCTTTCTACAAAATTGATGTTTTAACTTTTTAGCTATTGTCATGTTAAAAATGTTGCTCCTGCATAGATGTACATAAAGGTCTTGGAATCAGTAAAGTTGAAAATATTCTCAATTTTTGGCATTGCTTAGATAATGTTTTTATTTGATGTTTTTACTATTTATCCAATCTCTGTTTTTTTGTTTTTATTTAAGGCTTTAGTTTTCAGTTCATTTTTTAGAGTTCTAATCCCAGGCAATAATCTAGTTTTTTTTAAAAAAAAAATATATATATATATGTAAATTTTTATTTTTTTACATGTAGGGAAAGGCCTTACCTGTTGATTTCTTTTTCTGGTTGGGAAAGATTTTTTTTTTTTGTACTAACTATACTACTGGTGAGCTTTTAGCTTTATTAAGGATGGTTGTGAATTCCTTAGAGGAGTCTTATTTATTGCAGTTAACTTATTATGTACAAAAATTATTTATTACTGTGCCTCTTTCATATGAGTGGTTAACGAGCACAGCTAAAAACCACAGCAGAGTGGTGGGAAGAATCACAGAGAAGGTGACAAATGGAGATAGTTCCTACTGCAGGAAGGGTTGGAGGTGGGAAAGAGGAGAGCTTTTATAATGGTGACTCTGAGTAAGTGTAGAGAAAATTGATTCAAACATTTGATCTGGGATCAAAGAACCTTTGTTATGAACGGTCAATGTTAAAAATATAAAACATACGGAAGCTGTTGCCTGTGAAGTCATTTGCGTACTCTGGCTGCAGAGATGTAAAAGCCAGTTCATCACTATAAACGAGGACAGATTTTTTTCCTGGGCCATATGTTTTGGAGTTTTCTCTTTCCAGAATCAGGATGGGGAGGGGGTAGAAATTACTGGTTGACATATTTTTCACTGTTGAAAATAACTGCACTGAATTCTTTTTATTTTTGATTCATTACTGCTGATCAGTTTGAAACTTTTGAACTTCCTCATAAATATCCATAAGAACTTTTTTTTTGGAAGAAGATTTTTATTTCAAAGCAGAATATTTACCATAAGTTTTAGTACTAAAATATGACTTATTGTTATGGTGTGTTATGACACATTTTTTAAAAAAGAGAATAGCAGAGAGGGCCTTGGAGAATGGCATACTTGACCTTGTTTTTACCATAT